GGTTTGGAGTGATGCATTGGGCCAGGTTCCTACAAAAACATGCGGTGTGCCCCATCTTGTTGCACTTATTGCAATATAATTCCCGACAGACTCCATGATGATGGTAGTTGCACTTGCTGCAACGTGGGAGGTTTCCATGATATGGTTTTCTCGGTGCTAAGATAATAAGGTCAGTGGGGATAAGGACTGCTGCAACTCGTTGCCTTTTTGTAAATCCTTGAGTCGAACTGCTCCCTTTCTCTTTCCCGAACTTTCGTTTCATGATCTTAGGTTTGGGGTTTGGGGTGTCTTGGAAAGTTGTACCCCGTTGGTTTCCTTGGTTGTTACTACGGTTGGAATTGTCGGCACTTTATCCATTTTGTTTGTGTTGTTGGCACTGAGTTGCGCCATGACAGCTGCCACGGCAGCCGTTACAGCGACTTGGAAGGTTGTGGAGTCGATCTGTAGAATTGATGGTTCGCCAATGTGTTGGTTATTTTCATGGGAAGATATGATTCTGATGCATGATGAGAAACAAGTTCGTAAGTAACTATGGTCATTTCTTGTTGTATCTCATCTATGATTATAGATATACAGTCATGCATGCGCACATATAAGTCACATGTTTTGTTGCACGATTCTCAATGTTTCGACCTACATCCCTATGATGTATTTATGGTAATGGGTAGTAGTAGGTATTGGACGATCGTTAATTTTAACAAAATGGGATACAGATATCAGTACAATTAGTTGGTTTGGATTACATGGGTTCTTGGAGGGCATACCTCTCTTGATTTACTACTACTAGTTGTAACGAAGTACATAGTAAACCTAGGACCTAGTGCGAGTAGTGTAGTGACGCTCACATGCCGAAATAGCGTACTAGGTGCTCAGCCATTTCACTCATTTCATGAGTGGCCTCTTCCGCTCTCTGCTCGGCTAAGGCTGCCCTAGCCTATGTCGTATGAGCTTTTGTCTTACGGTGGCCACTTCCTCCTTTAAGGAGCGTAGACGGTCGGTAAGTTCCTCCTGCTCTGCGTGTTGGTTTGGTATTGGCCCCGAAGGGTAAGGCTCGCTAAGGATCTCCCCCTCATAGTCCATCTCTTGGTATTCTTTAGGACCCACTTCTGGGTTTTCCTCATGAGCCTCTTCTGGATCCTCCTTGATCCATTTGTTGGCTACTACGGAAGGGTAGTGGGGGTCCTCATGGTCAAAAATTCATCCATGTTGCCCATACGATAATAGAGGTATGAGATGTATGTAGAAGATTTAGGTGTGAGTGTTATATGGTATCCTAATATACTCCTATAGTATTTTAAACTTTATGTTCGATCCCAATGTTCATTTGCATGTATATTTTGTAATTTTAGACTTTTTGCAACATCACTCTCACTCCCAAACACATGTTGGTCGTATCTCAAATAAATATAGTTGATCAGATTATATTTATCCCAGATATGATTACATAACTGTCTAGGTTTGACTGTAGTGTCCAACATCTAATTACTTTTGTTTTGTTCTTATTATGACATTGCCCTAATATGTATACTTTTATAAAAAAACTTATATTTCTAAAATATACTTTTAGTCAGAGTGTTTTAGTCCCATGGTATTTATAGATGTATATCTTGTATGGTTTGATACACTAGTTCACTATAAACCTGGCTCTGATACCAATCTGTCACACCTCCAAACCAGAACGGCGGAAACGTCTAGCGGTGGATGGAGTGACTTCATGTATAGTATCATAACAATTTATTTAGTAATGAAACATAGCAACACAAACATCCATACATTTAGATTTCACGTATTACATTGGTTACAAACACAGTTGTTCAAAAGAAGAATACAGATAACTGAAAACTAGGAAAAACATGAAACGACGATGTCGGCCCTCAAGTAGGGTTGAGCACCTGTCTGCTGGCATCCTAAGAATACGAGTCGTTTTGAAAAGTGTCAACTAAAAATTTGGTGACTTCATAAGCATTTTTGTATAAAATAGTTTTGCACTTATTTAGAATAGTTCTTGTTGTACTTTCAGAAAATCTGATATTTTCTATAAAAAGAGTTTGTAAGTCTCGTTCTAAAAAAACGTGAGTATATGCATGCATGTCCTTTGTTTTCTTTTGTTATATTTGTAAGGAGTATGTTCCCAGAAAATCCAATATTTTCCTTAATATGAACTGAACTTGAAAATAATTCATTGGTATCTTTTCCTCATAAAGTAATAATGTATATTTCCAAAAAAATGTAGTATTTTTCTTAAAGGTAAACTATGGTCTCAAACCCTAACGCCATGATGGAAGAGAGTATCATACAGAAAATAGTTTATAGTTTCATTTCTTCCAATAAAACCAATGAAGTATAAGCTTCTCGTAAACCAAAATCATTTCGTTAATCCCTATGTGAGCCGTTATAACCATTTTTGATACAACTAAAATGTCTGTCATGACGCTCTTCGGGCGTCGGTTTCGGTAGGATATTTGTCACCCTAGACTGGTCTCGTCTAGCTATAACAAACAACTCAGGTGTGGGGGTGTCAACCCCATATAAATCTATACACAATTACCCTACTCTCCCTCCATGGGACTCTAGTTATAACTACAGGACTTACGGTGTACGCTAGGTAGGTACAACGAAGGGAAATCTCACAAGAGCCTTAACAGGTTTATGGAAATTTCTAGTCTCTTTTTAGAATAAGAAAAATAACTTTTCTACTGCAAACTTGTGACAGGTGTTTTATGGTACATAGTTTATGGCATGCCAATATTTCTGTCATGAACTCTTTTGTACACCATTTTGGTAAAAACTATTCATAACACTTTTATTAAAAAAAAATAGTCCTCATAAAGGTAAATAGTTGTAACATTTGGTATAAAAATAACATAATATCTTGGGTTTTAACCCATCAAAATCGTGAATACAGGTTTACGATCATTTTACAAATATAATTACTTTTAGTAAAATATCAAATCACATATTTACGTTTTGCACCTTCTTACCGTTTTTGAAAGTTTTGAGTCAAAATATTTTTATGTTGATTTTTATGAAGATACATAGGATAAAATTTCTTTTTCACCAATAGTTGTTCCATTTTCAGCACCATATTTAAGATTCATGCAATTATCCAAAGGTTAAACACATAACACATAAGTACATGTTAATATCCAATGGTTAAACGATATTTGACTTGTATCCTTCCCTAAAAACAATGAAAAACTCGAAAATATGGGGGTATGAAGCTCACCTTGAGTGGTTGATGTGTATACGTTGAAGTGGTGAGATGAAGATTTCGAGCCTAGGATCTTAGATGGAGATGATGAACTTTCTTGGAGATGGCTTTATCCTAAGGTTTTAACACATTTTGATGTAAACAGAGTGAAATCAACATAAAATGTATAAGTTTTAGTAGGAATCTCGAAAATACTTACAAAGATCTAAGGATGTCTTGAAAGGGTTTTGAACTTGCAAGCTTGGAAAGTTTGCTTTTAAGAGGAAATGAGATGTTACTGGAAGTTTAATGTTGAAAATAAGGAAGATCCTAAGTGTGATTTTGTTTATTATAAAGAAATGTAGTGATAGGACATTTACTTGGAGGTATGGAGGTTAAAGCATAGATATATGATGGGTAATACGTAGGTTATTGTGAATGTGTTGGAGATGGAGATTACATCAAGTCATAAAGTCAAACCCTCTTATCTACTTTATTTGGCCAAATCACTTTATGATTTAAAATAATATATTTATAAATCTTAAATATTATTTTATGTAAATATGTTTTAAATATTTAAAATTGGCATAAAATAGGGGCTTAAGGGGTCTGGGTTATAAAAATACGAGTTTGGTGGGATTCCCGACGTCAAAATCTCTTAGAATAGAAAGAATGTCCAAGATGGTCAAAAATCTGAAGTCAAATGGTGAATTCTAAAGTCAATCTTCCAATTCCGGAGTCATCCAGCAAAAATTCTGACATGGCCTTCAACTTTTGGAGTCGAAACAGAAGTTCCGAAGTGGTCTTTCTTGATTCCGGAGTCGAATCAGAATTCTGAAGTGGCCCTTCCTGCTTCCGGATTCGAATCAAAATTCTGAAGTCATCTGGTTCCGAAACCAAGTAGTACGTTCCGAAGTGAGGCAAAATCCGAAGTCAGCTTATAATTCCGAAGTGATTGATCTAGTTCCGAAGTGGTGTTGTTCTTTTGAGTTTTCTACTCCCGTTTTGGGTTGTTTTCTATATAGGTAGGGATGGATTGATGTTTGTGTTTATGGAAAAGCTTGAAAGAGTTTTGAGGACATTGAGAGAGATTTTGGAGAGATTTCAGAGAGATTTGAGAGAGAGAGGGAGAGAGAGAAATAAAGAGAAAGAGATTTTATTTGCAGCCGGTATCATTGTTTTGCTCCCGAAATGTTAACTTTATGAACTTCACTATATCTCATTATGAATGTTACTAATCCCCGAAGTATAGGAAACTGAAATTACCGAGTCATTACATCACTCACCCCATTTAGGGTTTAGATCTTTTCAAACATATGAAACTTCCGAGTGATACTTTGTATTAAAATGGCAAGCCATTTATTTTTACCTTATCGTATTAGTACAAGTTGAGTGGACCGAGTTGACTTGTTGGTTTATTTGACCTAATATTTTTTACGGTTGTCACAGTATTTATGCAAGCCTACATTTATTAATCCCACCAATTACATACGACACATGTTTAGGGTTGTCACAGTATTTATGCAAGCCTACATTTAGTCGAGAGGACCGAGTTGACTTGTTGGTTTATTTGACCTAATATTTTTGATGGTTGTCACTGTATTTATGCAATCCTACATTTAGTAGTATTGAAAACAAACATAGGTTCCCTTGAATGCTTGGTAGTATTGATTGTACACATTGGGGGTTGTTAATGTGCCCTAATACGTAGCGCGTTCAATTTATGTGAGGCGGTCAGAAACAGCTGACAATAATTTTAGAAGTAGTGGTTTCCTATGATCTTTGGATCAATCATGCAATTTTTGGTCCAATGGGTTCCAACAACGACATCAATGTTCTAGACCAATCAACGATATTCAACGACATCTACATTGGAAAATCGTATGATGTGTCATTTCAAGCAAATAAAACATCATACAAACCCGGGTATTACTTTACCGATGGGATATAGTACAGTTGTGAAATATTTCTCATGTCTAAATGATGAAAAGAGAATAAAGTTTAAGTCGACCCAGAATTAACTAGGAAGGATATTGAGCGGGAATTTGGTATTTAAAAAAGACATTGGGAGATACTCTCATCAACAGTATGATCATTTAAGCGAAAAAAGAACAAGTAGTTTGATTTATGCATGTTTCATATTGCATAATATGGTTATAGAAGATGAGGGAAAAGACAATTTATCACTATAATGAAAATGAGAATTTACCAACATTTGAAGGAGTAGGTATTTGCATGGTAGTAGAAGGCGCTACTCGATACATGTTTGGCTGACTGCCGAGTAGCGAGTACTCGGATTCGATAATTCATGTAGAAATATTTTTAGGGAAATTATATATGTCAAAATCATAAGTTTATTGAAATATATAATAAAATTAGATACGTGTGAATACACAAAAAAATAAAAAACACACAATGGTCTCACTTCGTCGATAATTACAGAAAATTTAAGATATATATATTGTAATAATCACATGTGTGTATGTTAGATAATAAACCATTAAGTATATTAGACATATCAATCACTGAGTTCGCCAAGTTTTACAACACTGTTTGTTTCAGTAACGGACCGATCGAGGAGTACTTAGATTTTGTAACTTGTCTCGGTAAGAGGCCAACTAAGGAGTACTCCGTTGAGTAATTGGGCCAACTCGGCGAGTTTTAAAACACCTGGTATTATATATATATATATATATATATATATATATATATATATATATATATATATATATATATATAAAAGATCAAATAAAAGCATTAATTAAAATAAAAACATGATAATACTTTTTTATGTTATTATTCAACTATGAATTTTGTGTATGTATAATATTATAGTATATTCTAATATGAATATTAACATATGATTTATTGATATATTCATTGTTAAATAATGTCATAAAACTGTATATACAAAATTTATTACAGCCTAATAACATAAAAATAGTATTTTCTCATTCTTATTTTATTTAATATTTTATTTGAACCATCTCATATATATATATATATATATATATATATATATATATATATATATATATATATATATATATATAATGACCATTTGCTTCTTGGACTCTTTAATTTCTAGACTTAGGCCTCGTTTGACATATGCCGACTAAGAAAGTGCTGACTGAGAAATGTTTGTATGGGTAAGAAATCCTGACTGAGTAAGAAATCATGTTGCTTGATAGTACATCTGACTGAATGTGCTGACTAATAAAAAATGATCATTTTACCCTGCTACTATGTATAGTGATGGATGAAGTTGATGAATAATTATAAAAACATACAGATTGTCATACAAAATGTGAATTACACACAAGTCATTTAAAAATCCAAATAAAAATTATCGTACAAAATGTAAATTAAACATAAGTTATTTAATATCCAAATAAAAACATAATGAAATTTCTTTTTTAGTCTTTAACACAACTAACTCCAGTTTAATCAATGATATTTCATTATTCCTTCCTACTTATATTTAAACTTTGAAACTTTATTAGTTATTAACTAATTGATTTCTTTTTATATATATATATATATATATATATATATATATATATATATATATTTCAAAGTTAGCAATAGTAAACTTCACGGTTTTTTTTTTCACAAATGGCCCTCACTTTATACCGGGGTTTCCTAATTTGGAATGGTTTGTGTTGTGGGCGGTATTTGATGTTTTTCTGATATTTTTGCTCTTAGTCTTCTGGTCTATCCATGTCTTTGTTGTATGCTTTCTTAGTTGTTTTCCTAGCCAATTACGCTTGGATTGTTGTACTTCTTTTCCTTTTTTTTCAGTTACCACACGGGTTACCACAGGTTAGGTTATGTCTTTACTTCCCGATCCTTCCACTGTCTTCCTTTTATCTCTCACTGCTTCTTTATCTCGATCCTTTCAGTGTCTGTAAGTGTTTCTCTTTAGAAGCGATTGAGCACAGCCATAACCACCGTCTGTTTCACTTCGTGTTAACGTCGTCCCATCACCAATACTATGGCGCTCCCCTTTCTTGCACCTCCAGCACGCTCCCGCTTTCTCACAGCCTCCACCACCATCACGTTTCATCTAATTACATCCACATTTGAAACCTAACATTGTAAGTTTTATTTGTTTAAACGAAATATAAAGGATATCATTCGATTCCCCACACATTTTTCTATGTTTAATATGTTTCAATCTATGGTTGTAATTAATTATGAATTGTTTTTTGTAGCATCTGTTATAGATTCGTTCGATGGGTTTTCAAATTCTAGGGTTTATCATGGTACTATTGATTGATTAGATTTTGATGACCACACGACCCAATTGATTATCGAGCATGAGGTTGATAAATGGAAAAATGAAGGTATGAACCGCAGGGGTTCTCGATTCCTCTATGATGACCACTGGAGAGCGCCGCCTCGATTTTTGATAGCATGATATCAAGGTAATTATCACAGATTCAAGCAATTGTATATCGATTCCTCCTCGGTTCCTTTGGATTCCATCTACATCGATAACCTGATATCAGGTAATTATAGGGTTTTTTCTTTTGATGATTTTTCTTGATTTTGTTTATATTTAGTAAAGTTGATTTGTGCTTAAAAATTATATATGAAATTGGTTGGTTGATGCGAAATCAGGGACAGAGGATTTTTTTGTTGTTGGACATCATATCTTAGTTCTTACTCAGGTGAAAGAGTCACTTGCTTCTTTCACTCATGTTTCTGTTCATGTATTGTGATTGCTTTCTGGGTTTCTGGGTCATCTAAAAGATTTTGTCATTTTTGTAGGTTTCTGGTTGCTAAAACATGGATTGAGGAAAGGGGAAAAAACAAACTGAGATGGGGAGATCGTTAAGAAAGGACTATTAGTTACTTCTCTAGTGATTCGCCTTCATTAACCCTAGCTTTCTCTCTATACTATCAAATTAATCTTATCGACAACATCCCCAATGGAAGTATTATGATATATTTATAGTCGCCAGCTATTTTCAGATTCCCAGCTTCAAAATTATTTTTCAGGTCTCAACTCTTTTCTTATGTTTGATGCTCAAATAACTTTTGAGACACATCATTCAGTTTGAGGGTAAATTTGTAAAAATGAGTTATTCTTTTTACATTACGTCAAAAAAAAAAAAAGACTCATATCATATCAACAAATCAACCTATGTTCTCATTAAGTCAAAAATATGTTTTATCAATCTCAATTTCTATTTGTAGGTGTTAGTGATTGTTTATATTTTTACTGGATATTTTTGCTTTGATGAATTTAGGTTCGTCAATACGGTTTTGAACAAAATTCGTTAATATCACCTCGAAGCAATTTCATTTTAGAGGTGTTAGGCCTGATCATGCCAATGCATTGTCGTGGTTCTTAAAGGTTGTAGACAAAGGTGCACCAAAGTCTGGAGCTTCTTGGTTAGATCTATGCAGGAGGTGTTGCAGTTAAACAAAACTACACAAAAGCTCTCGAATGACTCACATATGCGTGATATTGCTATGGTTTGGTAAATTTTTAGAAGTAGATTGTTATGGTAGAAGGAAATAAAAGTAGGATGCTATAATAAAGAAATAAATAAAAGTAATTAGCTATTAATTGATGATTTTTATGGAAATGAAAGTATGATATTATAATAAATAAATAAATAAAAGTAAGTTGCTATAACACAAGTCTTTTTGAAAAAACAATTGAGGGTCTTTTGAAAAAAAAAATTGAGTTTTTTTTTTTTTTTTTTTGGAATAGAAAAGAACTTTTATGAATGGTTTGCAATAAGCTTAAGATGTGAATAAATGATCACTATATCATTTTTTGTATTTTCCAAAGCAGGTTCTACAAGAAGGGGCTTTGCATGCTTTGGCATCATCGCATCTGTCATGCTTCCTCTCAAGCATATATTAATGATCACAACTGATAAAAATAATCGCATGCTTCGTGCCAAATTGACAGACCATATTAGTTTGGTTGGGATGATTGCTGGAAAATATAAGTTCAAAGATGACCCGTTCCAAATAAGTATATACATTCTTCGATGATAGCAAGATTTTAAATTTAATTTATTTAAAATTATTTTCTATTTCATTTGCGGTCGTAATTTAATTACAGGCCTGTTATTTTCAAACTTGGGCTTTGGACCCTCCCGAATCAGACTCCAAGCAGCAAGCATAGTCCAAATTCTCCAAGAAATAGTCCAGAAATCAAAACTAGTTCTTCCCCAATTCCTCGTTCGTTGAATCATTGATGCCTACTGTTGCTGTTGAGTCAGGGTCTCACACTCTCACTCTCTCCATCGCCCATCGCTAAGCGCCATTCACCAAAAATCAAGTATGCAATCCCGAATCTTGTTCTTTCTTTTCCAGTTCTCTTGTTCTTTGTTTTGATTGAATATTGTGTTGCATTGTTGATGTTGTTTGCGAGTTTCTCTTGACTCCTCTTTTCTCTCGGTCCAAACTCCAAATTAGAAGTTAGAGTTTCTTTTTTAACTAGGATTTCAATTTATCAATTTGATTTATTAGTATTCAATTATGATTTGTTTAGCTCTCTTCTAAGTCTATTTATTGTAAGTTGTAGGATAGTAGGACATTGGACACCAAACTGGAAGTATGGAAAAGAAAAAAAAAATGATTTTGTTAATTGTTATGCTTCAAAAAAACTGAAAACAAAGATGGAGGAAAACCTTAGACTATTTTTATAAAATGGATTTGGCTATCAATTTATCAATTTGATTTGGTTTCACTTTTCAATTTTCACGCACTGTTAATTGGTAAATGAGTTATTGGTTATTTTTCTAATTTTGATTTTGATTGAATCAATTGTTCCTTCATTTTGATTTTTATAGATATAATCATGGGAAAGATGAAAACCTTAGACTATTTTTACAAAATAAAGGTAGATGATAAAGAAACTAATCATCAAAATGAAGAGAGTAAACGTCACAAAGCTTCAACAAGTGAGCCACAACCGCAAGAAACAGAAAATCAACAAGAGAATGAGCCACAATTGCAAGAAAAGGATAAACAACAACAGAACAAGCCACAACCACAAGAAAAGGAAAATCCTAATGAAGTTGATTTGAATAATCTAGAAAGAGATCCCGCTAAACGAAAGCAAATGTGGGATTATCCGGTTAATTTAATAGAACAAGTGAGACGAGCTTATCTGAATTTAGGACCTTTCCAAATAGATCTTAAGGAGTATCAAGGTAAAGGTTCAACAAAACATCCTCGTAGATTCAAATATTCTTGGTTCAACATTTTCCCTAATTGGCTAGAATACTCTCCAACAACACGCGCTTCTTATTGTTTTATTTGTTAAATATTTAATGATAAACCAAGTGTGTGTCATGGTTACAATGCATTTACTGTTAAAGGATTTGACAATTGGAAAAAAAGTTAATTACGGGAAAAATTGTGCGCTCTTGAAACATATTGGTTGCTCAGAACATAGAAATGTTGTTGCATTTGCTGAAAACTTGATGAACCAAGCAGCACACATTGAAAATATCATAGTGAAGCAAAATGAAGCACAAATATTGAAGAATCGTTTACGATTAAAAGTGTTAATTGACACAGTTCGTTGGTTGACCTTCCAAGATTGTGCTTTACGAGGACATGATGAAACACCTGATTCCAAAAATCGTGGTAATTTTCTCCAACTTCTAAAACTTCTAGCATCGTATAATGATGAAGTTGCAAACATTGTATTAGAGAAAGCTACTTATAATTCAAAGTATACTTCTGGGGAAATTCAAAAATAAATTCTTAGTATTATTGCAAATAAAGTTCGAAAGCATATTCGTAGTGAAGTGGAGGATTCATACTTTTTTGTCATGGTTGATGAGTCACGGGATGAGTCTCAAAAAGAGCAAATGGCGATAGTTTTGAAATCTATTGATGCGGAAGGAATCATACGGGAAAGGTTCTTGGATTTGGTTCATGTTAGGGATACATTATCATTAATCTTGAAAACAAATATGTGGAGACAACTTTTACACTATCAATTTGATGTTAGTAAAATCTGTGGCCAAGGTTATGATGGTGCTAGTAATATGAGAGAGGAATGGAACGGATTACAAGTACTTGTTCTTGAGGATTGTCCTTATGCATATTATGTTCACTGCTTTGCTCACAGATTGCAACTAGCCTTGGTGGCTGCTTCAAGGGAAATTATTTCAGTTCACCAATTTTTCACAAATTTAATTTTTACAATTAACGTAGTTTGTGCTTCCAGTAAGCGTCATGATGAGTTACAAAAAGCAAAGGCAACTGAGATTGAAAAATTATTGAAAGTAGGTGAAATCGAATCAGGTAAATGATTGAATCAAGTTGGGACTTTAAGAAGAGCTGGTGATACACGTTAGGGTTCTCATTTTCGTTCCATTGTAGTCTTCTTAATATGTTTGCTTGTACTCATGTTGTTCTCCAAGGAATAATTAATGACGTGTCTGCTACCTATTTTCAACGCGGAGATGCTGATGCAGCTTACTGTTATCTGAAATCATTTGAGTTTGTGTTTATTCTTCACCTGATAAAGGAAGTAAGGGGAAAAACTGAAATACTTTCTCAAGCTCTACAAAAGAAATCTCAAGATATTCGTAATGCCATGGAGTTAGCTTCAGCAACAAATGAGGGTCTAAATGATTTCAGAAACAAGGGATGGGAGTCTTTATTTGCACAAGTAAAGTTTTTTTGTGAAAAACATCAAATAAATATGTCAGATATGAATGCTCCATATACTTCTACTCGATACAGGCCTTGAAAAATAGATAATCATGTTACTTTTGAACATTTTATCGAGTGGATTTGTTTATAGCCACATTGGACAAACAGTTACATGAGTTGAATAGTAGATTCAATGATCGGGCGATGAAGTTGTTAAGACTTAGTTCTACTTTAGTTTCTAAAGTGATTAATGTTGATCAAAATTGTCTTCTTGTTGAGATGTATTGTCCTAAAGATTTTGCGGAGCAAGAGATGATTCAATTACGATATCAATTGGAGATTTTTAATATTGATATCACAAAGAATCGCAGACTAAGTGGTGTATCAACTATTGCTAACCTATGCAAGCGTCTTGTGGAAACTCAGAAACGTAAGACATATTATTTGCTTGATAGAGTGGTTTGGTTAATCTTAACACTTCCAGTTTCTACCGCAACAACAGAGAAGGGATTTCCAACAATGAAAATATTCAAGAACCGTCTTCGCAATAAGATGTCGGATGATTTTCTCGCAAACAACTTGGTGATTTACATAGAAAGAGAAATCGCTGAAAACATTGATTTGAAGTCTGTAATTGATGAATTTAAAGACATTAAAAGTTGTCGGGCTGAGTTGTAATTCTTTTTCTAAGTGTTTTTGGTTTTTATTTGTTGAAAACAATTTGTTTTTTTTTTAAGAACGTTAATTTCAATTTCTAATACTCCCCCCCCCCAGTTAATTGTTCAAGGTCTGCCACTACATGCAGTTTGACTTTTTATTCATAATAAGGTAATAAATAGCAACACATTTGATTCTTTTACCTATAACTAGCAAAGTAATTGCAGTGTGCACCAACATTGTGGTGGAAGCAGTGAATTGAAGACAGAACCATGTATATTTGTCTTTAATTCGACTTTCTTTGACAAAGTTCACAGTAATTGCAGTGCATATCCAAAAAAGGAAGAAACTATTTACTTAGAGGTGAATTTGTATGCTTTTACTTTTGGACTTTGCCGTGTTATAGACGAAAATATATTGGGTAAATGGCACAAAAAATACTCTTTTTACACAGAAATTCGATTTTGACACCATGTTTTTTTTTTTTGTCAATTTTGACACTGTGTTTTCCAATTTGTTACAATTCTGGCCACTTGACCGGTTAACCGGGTTGCATGCTGATGTGGCATGATGATGTGTCAGTTTTGATGATGTGGCATGCTGACATGATATGCTGACGTGTCAAAATTGAATTTTTTTTCTCACAAAAAACACTAAGTTTTCATTTTTTTTTTCGATTTTGACACTAAGTTTAATTTTCCTTTTCAACTTTGACACTGTTTTTTGTTCCAAATCGAACATCATTTTTTCCAATTTTGTTCAATGTTGACAATTTTCTATTTGAAACCGTATAAATAGTTTTTTAATATATTTAAATCGTATAAATATGTTTTTTTTTTTTCATTTAAAAACCATAGTTTTGTATAAATACATTTTTTTACACTCAAACCATATTTTTATGTATAAATATGTATTAGTTATATAAAAATTGTATTTTATATTAAATATGCAACTTTAAAATGTGTTTGAAGGTTTGAAGACGTGTAGTCGATCAAAACTCGGATATCAAGTTTGCAATTCATCAAATTTTTACATCTTATTAGAAACTTATGGTTAGTTTGATTCTCATGATATAACTAATGCTTTGAATGTAAGAAAAAAAAAACACGTTGTATTTAAATAAAAATGTGGGTTTTAAACGAAAAAAATATGTTTATACAATTTAAAATGTAATAGAAAAAAATATATTTATACGGTATCAAATGGAAAATAGACAAAATTGAACAAAATTTGATAAATGATGTTCGATTAGAACAAAAAAAAACATAATGTCAAAATTGAAATAAAAAATTAAACTTAGTGTCAAAATCGAAAAAAAAGTGAAAACTTAGTGTTTTTTGTGGAAAAAAAAATCAATATTAACACATCAGCATATCATGTCAGCATGCCACGTCATCAAAACTGACACGTCAGCATGTAACCTGGTTAACCGGTTAAATGGTCAGAATTGTAACAAATTGGAAAACACAATATCAAAATTGACACAAAAAAAAACACGGTGTCAAAATCGAATCTCTGTGTAAAAAGAGTATTTTTTTTACCATTTACCCAAATATATTAATACTGTAAACAAATTCATACTTCACAAAGCGGGGTTCCTCATCTAGTTAATATTAGAGTAAATTACTGAAATCGTCATTGTGGTTTGGTCAAAATTACACGTTTGGTCCCTAACTTTTTTTTGCACTCGGATCGTCCCTGTGATTTGATTTTGTTGCGTTTTTCGTCCCTATGGTTTGATAAAAATTGCATGTTTGGTCCCTAACTTTATGTATGTAAGGGACGAAAAATGCAACAAAATCAAATCACAGGGATGAAAAACGCAACAAAATCAAACCATAGGGACGATCCAAGTGCAAAAAAAAAAAGACCTAACGTGCAATTTTGATCCAACCACAGGGACAATTTTAGTAATTTACTTTTAATATTAGATAATACTTCATTTTAATATTCAATATTACACATTAAATTCTTATCTATAATATAATTTTTGATTTTTTTTCTATAACCATATTTATTTGTTTCATATTTCAAAACAAAAATGAAAAGGTCGTGTTTTTACGTTTTGTCATGTTATAATTTATTTCATAAAATTGACATGTTTGCGTAAAAATGAGAAATTTAAATGAATATGTCTTTTAATGCATTTCATAAGATGGGAATAACTTAGTTAATCATTGTTTGATGAAGTTAATGGAAACTAAAAAAAAAAAAAAAAAAAAAAAAAAAAAAAAAGAAGAAGCTATGCATGAAATCGAGTGAATATCAGTGCAATTTATATATTCTTTAGTTTCACGAGTCAAAACTCCACACATTTCATTAGACCCCACGTATTTCAATACAAATTAATTTAATTTATTAGTAGCAACAATCTCCGTGCATATGTGATATATCGAGTCACGTACCATGAAATCCAAATACAGTTGCTTAAGGCTTAAGCCTTTGACCGATGAAAATGAGTTTTGTGTTTGTGTACATACAAATGCAATGTCGAACACAAGTTTATTTTTAATTTTTTTTTTTTTCATAAAAAGTTGTAGTGCCATTATGTTTCATGAATACTTGTAAACTGTTAAAAAAAAGTTAAAGTTTTTCCACTACATTTCCACATAACAATCATTAACTTCAAATATTGCTTTTTTCCATATGGTGTTGGAAGTTAACTTTGTCGCTAGCTATAACAATGCTACATTGAATTTCCAATATTGCCCTCACTCGATGAGGAAAAAGGAAGGAGAAATCTTACACTCAAAGGGGCATTTATGGTAGTGATGACAACTTTAAACTACGTATGCTTTCTACTAAAGGAAAGCATACAAGAATCTACGAGGTTGGAGCATTTTGTGGAGATGAACATCTTGACACATCCTTGCTGTTTTGTTGAAGCACTTCATGATTAATTGATGCCAATTGTGATAAGTTCTGCATACATAACCAATATCATACGATTTACACTACACATACCAATTTACCCTTTTACCCCTGTCCCTTTTTGTCATTTTACATGTATAGAAACATGGAAAATGACAATGTTACCCTTGGTATGCGTACCTTGAAAGAGAAATTTATCCATGAAAGATCATCATCGGGAGGTGCTTCGAACTCTGCAAGATCTCCACATACATCCATCTTCTGAAAAAAATAAATAAAGATAAATGTCTATGAAAAATATTTAGTATAAATAAATAAAGAGAAAATAAATGTGTACTTCTCTAGTGTCTGAACAGAATTCAGTAGTGTCTGAAGCTGCATCACTACAGTCTTGATCATCAGGTGTTCCAGTTGAACTACAACTATGTCTTGAAATAAAGTAACTAGTATCATCTATGCCATCTGGTTGTGGTATAAAAGCAACCTATATATATATATATATATATATATAAATATCTAAATTTAGAAAAAATAAATAAATTATTATTAACGCAAATTATGTGGAAAATGGAAATAACATGACCCACCTTCTGCATGGCAAGTGTATCCCAGTTTACACCATTAAAGAACGGATGTGATTTTACCTGTAAGTGAAAAACAAGTATAAGAGTCGATATATTTGGTAATAAAATTATAAAAATAAAAAATAAAAAGTAATAACCTCAGATGATCCATGTGCTCCTAGACGCTGATTAGGGTCATGAATAAGAAACCTAAAAAAACATGGATTCAAACGAGACAAAATGACCATTTTACCCTTGCATTCCAACAATAGGATATATATATATATATATATATATATATATATATATATATATATATATATATATATATATATATATATATATATATATAGTGAAGACTTGAAGAAACCAACCTGTTAATCAGGTCTTGGGCTTCATACGACATCTGATCTGGAACAGAAGGCCATGGGATTTTTGCATTAAGAATGTTGTTGAATATTCTCTGAGAAATTTCAATAAAATATATGTTAGGAATAAAAGTTACGATTGAATTAAAAAAAAAAAATTAAATTTACCTCTGGATGATCTGAATTAAAAGGTGGGGTTCCTGTTAATAATTCGAATAAAATAACACCAACAGACCACCAGTCAGCAGCATAACCATGTTCAGTTCCAAGAAGTATTTCAGGGGCCAAATAATCAGGTGTACCAACAGCAGCTGATCGCCCCCTTCTATCAACACTACTCCATTCATGGTCAACGCTTTGACCATCTGAAACAATAACACCCTTTGACTCTGGTCTCGTCAAATCATCCGTACTGTTTATTAGACCAATTTTAGACAGCCCAAAATCTGTAAGCTGATTAAATATATATATAACATAATTAGAACCACAATTATATAGTAATTGCATAAACAAGACTAAAGTACGTTTTTATATTCATGCATTTGATTTGATATGATTATATTTAATAAAAAGTAGAGTAAAATACACAAATGGTCCCTAATGTTTAAGGTCATTTGCACGTTTGGTCCCTAACTTATTTTTTTTAACTCGGAAGGTCCTTACAGTTTGTAATGGTCCCTAATGTTTGGGGTCATTTGCACGTTTGATCCCTAACTTATTTTTTTAACTCAGAAGGTTCTTACAGTTTGTAAATTACACGAATGGTCCCTAATGTTTGGGGTCATTTGCACGTTTGATCCCTAACTTATTTTTTTAACTCGGAAGGTCCTTACAGTTTGTAATGGTCCCTAATGTTTGGGGTCATTTGCACGTTTGATCCCTAACTTATTTTTTTAACTCGGAAGGTCCTTACAGTTTGTAAATTACACGAATGGCCCCTAATGTTTGGGGTCATTTGCACGTTTGGTCCCTAACTTAATTTTTTAACTCGGAAGGTCCTTACAGTTTGTTTTTGTTGCGCTCTTGGTCCCTGTGTTACCTAAAATGACTATTTTGCCCTTGATTTTTTAAATAAGATGTGATAGGTAAGGTAAAGTAATGTAAGATGGAATGGGGGTGTGTTACTGTGTTTATAACTTTATTTAAATAAATTTAAAAAATCCAGAGCAAAATAGTCATTTTATGTAAGATAGAGACCAAGCGTGATCTTCCGAGTTAAAAAAATGAGTTAGGGACCAAACGTGCAAATTACCCCAAACCATAAGGACCATTTGTGTAATTTACTCTAAAAAGTATTAACACATTAACACCTTGATATGACCATCGTGTGCGATTAATATATTGTCAGGTTTAAGATCTCGATGAACAATGCCTAGTGAATGAAGGTATTCAAGAGCAAGAACCTGTGATATGAAAATAAATCTTTTAAAGAGTCAAAAAAATAAATAAATAAATAAATAAATAAAGTTTTTGACAAACCAATTCTGCAATGTAAATGCGTGCTATATCTTCTTCAAGGCAACCAACATTCCTTAGCAAAGAGAATAGATCACCTCCATTTAGATACTCCATCACTAAATAAAGATTATCTCTGCTTGTAAATGAATAGAAAAACCTAACCTACAAATAAAAACCAATATTCAGTTTATTCACATATTCTCATATACAATTTCAAAGTTCATAATTCATGATTCATTACCACAAATGGGTTTCGAACTGTGATTAATATATTACGTTCAGCAACTATCCTTTCAATGTCATTTTTTCTTAGCATGTCCATTTTCTTGAGGATCTGTACAAATGAGTGATCATTAACAATGGTGTTAAAAAAGGAAAAGATTTTACTCTACTTATACCTTTATAGCAAATAAATCACCAGTTGTTCTTTTACGTGCAAGAAATACTTTCCCATAAGCTCCTCTACTTATTGGTTTAATAATCTCGAAATCCTCAATGCTTGTTCTCTCTTTATGTAGAGAATGTGAAGGAGTTGAAACTGAACTACTTGGAGATGCAGTGTCCACAACATCACTCATTCTTCTATTTGAAGTCTCTAAGTCACATGCAAATATGTATTTCTCTCTGTATACATATAAGGAAATGTGAAAAATAAAAACATGGTTGTTAAAAGTAGAGATGCGTGTATGCTTTTCACCTAATGAGTTTTTCTATTCGATGACCAAATGTATCAATAACAAGTGCTTTTAACTTGCTATGTTGTAAAACATCTTGTAAATCTTCCATACAAGTAAGCAAGGCCTCATGTGAACTTTCTTCCATTAGATCTGTCTCTGCTGCAGAATGAGCAATGTCTCTAAGATCTGTCATCTAAAGAAACAAGGAAAATTACTTATATACCCTTATAGAAACCAAATGCAAGAAAAGGTAAAAGATTAAAGAACATACCTGTTGCACATCCTCTAACTCGGAAGGATGGTTGAGTTCTAACCAGAAGAAGTCAAAGTTTGCAGCTTTTGGTGTGGAAGATGCTGATGTCATGCTTCCTGTTGAGGAGGGAGGGCCATTTAGACTTTTCACACCAGGAAACCCTTTGAGATTTACAAAGTTACAAGGGGTTGAATCTTCTATGCATGCAGTGTCCATTTCATGAAGATCCTCAAACATACCTTCAACGCCTTTATTTCTCCACTCACTCATTTTAGGAGAGCATCCATCTAAATTTTGAAATTGTGAATTTTGAGGGCTATCATCTGCAGGAGTGCAGGATATGATGATTTGATCAAGTATCTCTGAGAGTCTTAAAAGGCTTTCATTTACATCTGAACCTTTTATATCACATTTTTCTGCATATGCACATATATAAGAATGAGACTCCAAATGTGAAGCTGGAACATATTCTTCACATATCCGACAAATTACTAAATCGCCCGAATCTTCAGATTGTGGCCATCTCTCTGTTGAATCCTCCTTTTGTGTATGTAATTTTTTTTCATTATCCAATAACTTATTATTTAAACCATCAGTGGAATGGGAATCAACGATTCCTAACTTTAAAATCCGGCTCATTTCATATGAAGGAATCTTTTCTAAACATTCTTTCATTTTAAGAAGGGACACCTCATCAATATGCTCACTGTGTTTCTCAAAATGCAACAACCTTGTGCAGCGTGTTAGTATAAAAAGCATCCGAGTAAAAAGCCATTTCAATGGGCCTGTTTGGCAATCTTGCCTCTTTTTTGTTAAATCTTGAACAATGGCTTCACATTTGGTGCGAAAGTCTTGGCATGACATCTCTATACATTCTTTAGAAAGAATGAGAAGGTGTTGAATTGATCTTTGATCTTCTAAAGATAATGTTTCTGACTTTTGTGATACCTCAATCACCTCCCCTTTGAAGCATGCTAGCTCTGTGTTTACCAAATCTTTTGCAGCATTGAAGTTTGACCTCAATGATCCCAAAAGTTCCTGAATGTTGACTAGTCAGAAAACAAGAACAAAGGTGAATACTTAATCGCATCAAAGGTAATAAAGGTATACCTTCAAATCACTAAAGCTATGAGATCGTGTGTATAAAGGTCTAATGCCACCTTTAGGCCCGAGTTCATGTGAAAAGCTTTTCATCACTTCTGGCATTTTATCTATGTTTCCTGCTTCAGTTTGCTTTCCAAATGTGGATCTTCTTACCTTCTGTTGTTTACTTGAAACAGCTTCCTTATCGAATGCCTTGACCTCATGTTGTCTTTTCTGCCACATTTTAGATTGAATTATTCAATAACTGAAATTTTCCAGTTGAAAACTACAGTATGTATCATCTAAAATGAGTAAACACTCATCTGATCATGCTTACATGAAGTCTCACCTCAGTTTCAGGAGGCTTATCTCTAAGAGCTCTATCAGAATCCTTGGAAAGATGAGATGTCAACCATCGAGCAATTTTTTTCCCTTTGCGGAATCCTGGTACATAGAAGATGCTCTTTTCAGATTTCAAAATATAATTCAACAACGAATTGAATATGTCAAGCATTTTTAGGAGTAAGTGAAAAACATATGTTGATAATTTGAATTTGTCAACCCTTACAATTAACCGCAAAATTTAAGCTAGCCAAGTCGCTGATTGTTATAAAATAGAAATGATCCATTCTAGTGCTAAATTCTTCTACATATTTACATGTAAATACAGTATCTCGATTAGTTCGACAACGAATTGAATATATCAAGCAATCGAGTAACAAAAAATCAACCATAATTTTCACTAATCAGGAAACGAATTAAAATAGGCAAACCGCAACAACGACAACAACAACAGTAACAGAGTCAAATATTTTCATCTGTGTGTGTGTTAAAGGAAAAACAATATGAGCACCTTCTTTAGAAGAATGAAGCTTCACAAATCCTTTGGAAAAAGACCTCTGATGATTCTGCTTGAAACGACTAGCTATAGACTTTCTATGGAAATTACTAGAGCTGAGCTGATTGTTATCGTTGGAAGAAGACGTAATACGAGTCTTAATTCGATTCAAACCGGTCGGAATCCCCACCGCCTCCGACGATTCACCGTCGTTTCGAGTCGGTCCAGCCATCTGTATTCTATACACACTAGTGAATCTTGTTCATGAGAAGTGAAAATGAAATACCTAACTATCATATACCATAGATGAATATGATCATATGAAACCTAAAACTGTGAAACTTATGCTGATTGCTTGGTGATTGAAAGAGAGAGATAACGGTGGGTGTGTTCGAATTTCATGGCTGCTGAATGAGTCTGTCACGAAAGAAGTCGATTGAATTACAATTTACAAGTTACAAATTATAAAAATAAAATATGAAAGAAAATGTCAAAATATTTTGGTTTTAGAATATGTAAAACATGGTAAATGTGAAATGGTGCCCATTCAAATAAGGTTAAAAGTATCATGCTTAAAATCAGATAATTATGGATATTTGGGATGTTTTGGTTTGATTTTTTTATTTTTATAATATAATTATTCTCTTTTAAAAACGTGTTGTAAATTACACCAAAGACTAAATGAGAAAGCATGAGACCAAAAAGATGTGTCCAAGTAGAATGTAAAATATGAAATTCATAACAACAACCTCAAATTTTTTATATAAAAACATCAAACCAATAATATTAATCAAACATCACCAATGTAATTGTAATTGCAACATAAACAAATTACCAACTAATAACTAAACTCGACAATAATCATAATAGGGCTTTTAGCACTGTAGCACAACAAAGTTTGATAAATTTATACATTAAGTCACTCAAGTATTTTTTGTGTCTAATAGACCATTAAAGTTGAATTTTACTTATAAATTATACCATTATATGACCTGATACATGAACAGTCAATTACTTAAGTGATTAAATATGTAAATTCGTCAAACTTTGTTCTGCTACAGTGTCAAAAAAAATTGATATATATGAAGTCACGTCAGCATGTCACTCATTAACCGGATAAAAGTTCCTTCAAACCATTAATTAGTCGGTCTTTCCTAACGTTAAGGACCAATTGAACACAAAAAATACGTGAGTAACTAAATGTATAAATTCGTCAAACATTATTGTGCGACAGTGCCAAAAACTCATCGTGATAATAGTACATCAAATTTTATTTATATCCAATTTTTTTTTACATAAAAAATGCAGAACAATCCATTGGTTATACCGGAATTTTTTATCTTTAAAGGCATACAAAAAAAAACTTGTACCAAAACTATCTCTAAACATGGTCGTTTTTGTTTAGGAACCTTAGGTGTATATCGTATAAAAAGTTTAATGACTAAAATTAAAAGAAGAAGTTTCTAACTAATATTGGACATTGGATATAAGTTGTTGTATTATTTCAAAAAATTATCTACATCTATCCGTTGATTTGTGTAGATATATGTCGACCTACTGTTTGCGAACAACTTCTAAAAACTGGTGGACATGTTAGTGCACCAAAGTAGAAAACCACTTCTTGTTAGGATATAATTATATCTAAGGTTTGTAGACCTCACTACCATTGGTGGATATGGTCATACGGCGGGTTTTTTGTCCAAAAGTAGCACTATGCAACACAAACTAATGCAACTTGAGTTTTATTACAGCAATAAATTCAAACAATATTCAACATTAGATTCAAACTTAATATACAAATATATATATATATATATATATATATATATATATATATATATATATATATATATATATATATATATATATATATATATATATATATATATATATATATAATAAACCCAACAATAAATTCAAACTTAACATATAATATTTGGGTCCCATATTAGAAATAAAAAATATCTTGGTTAGAGCTTGTTAATTAAAAAATTTACTAAAAAAACTTTGAAATTAAAAAAATCTCTTACTATAAGTTTTTTATTTTTCAAAAAAAAATTGTTTGATTACAAAACCACACCAAAAGCATTATCACCTCACTATGATATATTAATATTATTGCAACATTTAAATAACACCATTATAAAATACTCACATATATATATATATATATATATATATATATATATATATATATATATATATATATATATATATATATATATATATATGGAGAGAGAGTGATAAGGAGAGAAAAAGAAAAAATATGAGTATTAGATGTGGTTATATATGGTTTGCACCACAATTGGTAATTGTGGAAGTGGTGATGCGGATGTGATGTGTCCACATCCCCGCCATATTGACATATAAGCCATCAATTGTTTTTGAAACAACCACACCCTAAGGCATAACTTAGCTTATGGCAATTAGTTTTTGGTGACAGAAGTGAGTTTGTTACATGCCAAGGTGGCTCTTTTGATCCATTGAAAAGTTTAAATCTTATTATAAAGACTAAACTGCACAAATGGTCCCTGTGGTTAGCTGAAAATTGTCACTTTTGTTCAAAAAGTTTTGGACTAACATCAGAGGTCCAAAGTTTTTATTTTGTTGCGGGTTTGGTTCAATTTCCTTTAAACTTTTTCATAATGACAATATTGCCCTTACTTTTATATTTTTTAGATTTTAATTTATTTAAATATTATTTCTCTCTCTCTCTCTCTCTCTCTCTCTCTCTCTCTTCAGCTAACAAGAACACCGGAAAGTCTGAACACTACCGTCGGAAAAGATAAATGTCACCACCGAAAATGATGAACGTCACCACCACCACGGCAGGTCAAAACATCTAGCCAATATGACCACTGTAAGTCAACATCACCACCATCTCCTTGAAAACCTCATATCTGAAAAGTATAATTGGAAACCACCGCCACTGCTACCATTTCTGTGGCGACTCCGACAAAAGGGTTCTAACCCATTTTCCCACCACCCATTTAGCCGGACTACCACCATCGATGTCACCTATTTTTCCACCACCTGGTAACTTAAAACCACGACAAATCTTATCTGCAACTTGAAGAAGGGAGGCTTGACGCCATCCTCCTCATCAAATATTAGGTCTCCGCCGCCTTCGTTTCTCTACATCTCCGGCGCTTCATCGTTCCTCAAATCTGAAAGCCTCCACCAACCTTCAACGGGAAAACCCTCATATTTGATAGCTTCCACCGCTGTTTGGGAACCCTAACCCTAGCGCCGTCAAATCTGAACCGAGACGAACGATATAGCGAAGTAGAGACCCTAAACGGACGATTGGAGTAATGTCGCTAGCGTTTATCAATCTCGTAGCTTGAATCGTCGTCGAAGAAGGTTAGAGATGAAGAGAAAATAAGGCGGAGAAATGGGTGACATCACTATGTGTTCAATGGGGGTGAGTTTGAATACGCCTCCATCGTCTTTCCAGATTCGATGAGAATGTGTTACACCAGACGATAATGACAATAGAATGGTGGTGCTCCGCCGAAATCAAAGTTGATGGTGTCGTCGGAGTCGGAGTCGTTTGCGGTATCGAAGAGATGTCGCAGGTCTGGAGCTTTAGAGTGGGTTGAGGTGAAAGAAGAGATGGTGGTGCTCCATACGGTAGGTAATACATGTTGGTGGCCTCCGAACCCCTCAGTCACTGGAACACTCAATCACCGGAAGCCTAAGTCACTGATGATTGTATTTTCATTTTCAGAAAGTTTAAATGAGGAAGATGGATTTGTGGAGAGAGAGAGAGAGAGAGAGAGAGAAAGAGAGAGAGAGAGAGAGAGAAAGAGAGAGAGAGAGAGAGAGAGAGAGAGAGAGATTTGTTTATTTATTTTTTATTTTTATTTTATTCAGAAAACATTAAAATAATTAGAAAAAATTAAAAAATAGAATATCAAGGGCAAAATCATCAATATAAAAAAGTTCAAAACAAATTGGACCAAATTCGCAACAAAATGAAAACTTTGGACTTCTGGTGCTAGTCCAAAACTTTTTGGACCAAAGTGGCAATTTTCGGCTAACCACAAGGACCATTTGTGTAGTTTTGTCTACTATAAATAAAGTACCAAAAATATTATAGAAAATTATATGAATCGTCCCTATGGTTTGGGATAATTTGCACGTTTGATCCCTAATTATTTTTTTTAACTCGGATTGTCCCTATAGTTTGGTTTCATTGCGTGCTTGGTCTCTACTATAATTAAAAAGACTATATTGCCCTTATTTATTTGTTTGTTTGTTTATCTGTTTATTTGCTTATTAATTATGTGTTATTTATTTTTCAGAAAAATATTAATAAATATGATGGGCCCTACAACCCATGTCTCACCCTCATGGCTATCAACTTCAAGGCTTTGACTTTTTCAGCTTCAAAATTGTCATTAGGGTTAAGGCTTCACTGGTTCACTGTCATCTTTAGTTCCTATGAAATTTCAACGTGTAAAAGTTGGAAATCGACATCTTCAACAGTACCATCTCCATCATCATGGTTGAACTCATTTAAATCGATGTATCCAGCGGCGTTAATAGGATATAGCCCGGAAATACCTATATCCTTCCCAAATATACCGAACCAACATGTTGCAGGGTCGCTCGAAGTTACCCGTCCCGCACGTCTTGAAGTTGCTCACCTACATACCGAATTGGCACGACAACTCGAAAGTAAAGGAAAGAACGACGAGAAAGTACAAATTGACGTCAAAACATTAGCAATAGTACCTCAAAACCATGCGAATATAGCATGTACAAAGATACGTGATTAGGTGGATCCTAGCACAGCCACATGATAATTGTGTAACAACATACACAATACCGATAGTCATACCTTCAAGCATAATGTCATAAATGCGATAAGATGGCATGTCAAGATCGATATGGGAAGAACTCACTACCTCTTCTTGTTCTGCTATAAATAGATAGCCGGACTCATCAAGAAGGTAAGTACACAGAAGTCTCTCTTAACTCTCTTGTATAATCGATCGATAACATAGCCTTTCGCTAGCTTAACCATCGGAGCGTCGTCCGGGATCTCTTCTCGGCCGACTTGCTTACACTTTTGTTTTTATTCTTTAGGTCAATCTATTAGGCTGGGAAGAACCAGCCCAAGAGTAAAAGATGGAAGACGGACCTAATGGTACATCTTCTGGACTATCTCCTTTTTTCTTTGCAATCACTTCATCTATTTTCATGTTTGAAGCCTCTGTAATCGCATCAAGGATTTGATGATTTTAAATCACTATTTCGAGAAAGGAAGAGCTCTGGTTCGAAAATGCCTATTGAAAT